ACTAACCTCTCTTCATATTGCTTTTTGACGCTAGCTGTAATGTTGTATTGAGTCAGCCTCGAGAGAAGACAATACCAGCTGAAGGCAGAGCGCGAACAGACATACTCTTGATACACAGAAATACCAAGACAACACTTAAAATGCTAATGGGAGGGATGTTTGTATGGATACATCTGAGATCAGTCCTGCAGTTATGCTTGTAGTGAGTGAGGCTAGGATTGCACAACTACTGAACACAACGGGTTAAGGATTGGCTGGTCAACACGGCACGCTTGCTGCAATTATTCTTGCTTCTCCAATGACGGCCACTCAAACAATCATATGATTGTTTCTTTTGGAAATTCAATTTGAAATTTGAATTTAAAAACAACGATTAAACATATACATATATATGCATATATAATTTGAATTTATAAATGATTAAATAATAATAAGAATAATTAGTAGTAGTAGTAGTAGTAGTAATTTTATGTGGCCTCTGTATAATAATATGATGTGAGGTTTTTGGCCTATTTCTTAATGTGTTTCTTCATTTTTCTATTTCGGATCTACGCATCTGAAGTCGTGTTTACTATTTCTTCCTGGAGTTCAAACTTTCAGGGTAACCAAAAACTCATTGGAGTAAGGAAAAGACAGGAAACACGTGTTTATAAAGGTAGTGCGTGGGGGGAAAAACATATTAGTAGGTAAAGTTAGTATAAATCAAACTCAGTGTACTTAGAGGTATCTTGTACGAAGAGGAAAATGCTAAAACAGTGCATCTCCTCTCTTTCATTTTAATTAATACTAAATTATATACATAGTTAATATTTGTTCTGTAGTGTTACTTGCTTTCACTTTCGATTTTATGAACTGTACAGACAAATGCGCTGTTTTTAAAAGGACCTCAATGTAACTTTCGCCAAATTTTAAATGATACGTGCGAAACAGAATGTGCAGAAAATGGTAAATAACATCTAGGCTACTCACTTGTTCGGCGGTAATAGTCCGTGTTGTTGACGTGCTTGTGATTGCTCGCGTGAAAGTGAACGCGCAAGAATGAAACCTGGAGCTGGTGGCAGTTAAAAAAAAACACACACAAATATTTATTTCTAAAACTGGCATTTAATAAATTCTGTCACAGTGTACTTTCCTGGTCAATACAATACCGCTTTACACAGGAGCCTTTTTTTTAATCGCTCACCTTTAGTCACATGACTGTTATCGTTCGTCTCTTTAACCACCAGATGGCGCCACTCCAATTATTATAAGCTTTAGATGTGGGCGGAGTGTCTGTCACTTTTGCTTATACTTGAGGCTGGGAACAAACCCCTAAAACTAATAAACATTTGTAATACCCTCATAAATGGAGCATTTTGAATGTTTAAATCTCTCTCTCTCTTTTTTTTTTTAGATACAGACAGTAAAGTGACATTTATGAAGTACAGAAACAAAACTGAAACGGTTAAAGTGCAACCGATGCTAAATTGTTACACCATGGATGTGAATTAAAAGGTACGTTGGTTTCATTTTATTTTATTGTAATTTCTAAAAACAAGCTGAGATTAAGCCAAAAAATGATCATATTACTTTATTCAATAAAAGCATTCGGGTTTTATTCTGCTGTTGTTTGTACTTATACTTGATGCAAGTAATTCACCATGACATTTTTTTTTATTTTGCATTAACAAATAAATGAAATGTGTCCCTTATTGGCTGTTACTGAGGCCTTTGATTAATATAAATGCTGAATGACTATAAAGCTTTTTAATTAAGGTAAATAATTAGATTTATATGACACCTGTGAGCTTACAAGATAAACATTTCAACCGCTTTTTCTTTTTTAGTATAGTAGTAGGCCTACAGTTGTATCATTATTCAGTTCCTTCAGAGTTTAGCTTTACATATTTAATACTGCTGGACTGTTTTTGCTACATTTGTTTACAATAAATTATCCTTCTGCCCGATCTTCTCTCTGATGAGTTTGTACAGGTCTATTGGCGAGCCACTTTCATGAGTGTAGTTTCCACAGAACTTCTTCAGCAACTTGTACAGTTTACCTGTTGAGAGAAGAAACGATCCAATAATGCTTCTCATTCTTGTTACCACTGTAGTTTTAGTTCATCTTCAGACTGAATGTTGATCTAAATCAATCAAAAAACTATTTTTGTAGAGCAACACTGAACAGCCAATTTAAGTAGTTTTACCTTACTATACTACAAGTAAAATTCCGAACAACTAGGTTGTTATGGCAATAAATATATAAATGACACTGCACTTAACATCAGAGCTCATAGTGTATTTCATATGAAAGGTTTGAACTAAAGATCTATTTCTATATATATATTAAAAAACCTTATTTCTAAAAATCTATAGGAGAAAATGAATCAATTTTTGTTTGTGTAACCCTATTGTTGTGCTCTATTATTAAACCAATTAATACCTGTGTGTTTTGACTTCAGTGAATGTACTTACCCACGGTCACTTTGTTGATGGTCAGTATCTCATGCATTCTTTGTATTTCTTTTGCAAGTTCTTTATTGCCAGCGGTGAAGTAAGCCACGTCTCGTCCAGCCACGGCGGCAGCCATCAACTGGATGAGAGCTTTTGAAGACAAACACATTCTGTTCTGTGCATTTATCATAATCCATCTGTAGTGTCTCCAGATCAAACAGGATGCGTGTGTGTTTTGTCTTTATTTACCTTTGAGTTTAGGATCTCCGTTGAAGGCACCGCAGCCCCAGTTGCCCGTTGCGATGGCCGTTTTCACGTCTCCATGGAATCCCACAAACGCCTTTGAGAGTCACACGGTATAAGCCTAACCTTACGATAACAAATACTTACCACAGCAAACCTCATTATTTGTACTTGTCAAAACTAATACCTTGTTGAGTTCTCGTTTTATGTTCTCTTTAGTGTACTGGTCCTTCGGGTTCTTGAAGTCGAGAGCATCGATGGCAACAATCTGCCGATAACGTCTCTTCCAGTTATCCCTATGAATTTACTTGTGGCTGTAAAACCAACGTTTTTTTTTTTTTTTTTAATGAACTTTTACATTTTGTATATTTGTCATCATTACTTACCGCTTCATGCAATCATTGTATGGACCCACCCAAGAAAAGGTTTTGCTGTAGCCAGAAGTAAAGCTGTACATCTGAGGACCTGATGACACATTAGCGATAAGAGGAAATGTCACGTAACCATCAACACTATCGCTCTGTCACGTTACCATGTGTGTTGTAAATACGTTTATATGTGTGTAACCATTCTATACTGAATTTGTTGCATTGCGGGTCTGAAATTTACTGATATAAAAAGGTGTCCTGTGACTGTGACAGAATGAGGTAATTTTCATTTTTGCGTGAACTATCCCTGTAACTGACTGAAAGCTGTTTTAGTTTTCTAACTTTGTCTGTGCTAAACGCCCCAGCAGTACCTGTGATCTTGAGGCACTCGTTATCAGCCAGTTTCTCAGTGAAGAGTCTGGCCACGATGAGCTCTGGACTCATGAAGAAGAGGATCTCCTCCTGAACCAGTCCCGATCCCAGCACCCCACCACCAATATAATTGCTGGCAAACTCCACCTGTCCAGAACCATGTGATGTAGATGAAACTGAAGAACAGGTACAAAACTGAAGTTTAGATGAAACTGACCTGCAGCATCCCTGTACCCTCATGCTCAATGGATCCTTCTGGAGAGATGTGAAGGTTTGTCAGAGTCTTCTTCTGTCTAAAGTCCGACACGATCAATAAGAGGCATGTCAACTCACTTTAGTCTGTTTAGATTGTAATTAATGTAACTTACTTTTTCCATTTAGGGAGCTGTGATTTTTGAATGCTAGTCCTTTCAAAAGTAACCAGTCCATCTGGTATTGCTGTTAAAACAATTAAAGGCCATTAAATTTACACTGAAATAGCTACACTGAATCCAAAATCCCATGTGATAAGTGTGTTCTCAGTACCTGGATCTTGATTATCACTTTTATTTGTCACTGTGTTGAAGTAATGGAAAATGGCCCTCAGTTTCTGTGCTTTCTGGGCTAATTTTGCCGGGTCTTTCTCGTCAGCAAATAGGCTAAAATATATATATATATATATATATATATATAACGAACTGATACAATACCAGTATTTTCAGATCAGAATGAAACAGTGTAATGTGATCCGTGCATCACCTGCTGAAGTTAATGGTGGGGAAGTTGACATATTCTGAACTAGGTTTAGTGTCGTTCCTGTGAGAGAAGGTGCAGAAGAAGGCGTTTGCTAACAGACAAGAAATCTGCTGCTGAGACATTGTTATGGCCAGGTTCTGTTGCTGTCGCAGGAGAGGGATGGGCTAGAGACAAAGAGTACAGACTCAAAAATACTTACAACAGACGTGCATAAAAAAAAAAACATATATAAGCAATGCAATTAATTTAGTCTAAGTAGATTTATTTTCTTTGTTCCAGTGGGACATTATTATAGCCTGACCAATGGTGCACACTGTGTGATTGTTAAATTAGTTTTTGTCTTGCATGATTGTTGCTTGTCAGATTGTACAATATGAACCTGATGAGATCTAAAAGTCAAGACAGACTCTTAAGTCAGAGTAATCAGGGAAAATAAAATGTGCATGCAGTGTAAGTCACTTTGGATAAAAGCATCTGCCCAATGCATAAATGTAATGTAAATAGAAAATTGACATGATTTACAGTGTTTACTGAACATTTGCATTAATTCTGACAAATTTATTCACACTTCAAATTAAAATGCTACCAAAAAACTGTCAGCAATGTTTTGCCCCAGAAATTAGGAAATTTGTGTTTATTATTCAGATGGTTGAGCTCATTTTCATAGTAAAATATTAATGTCAAAATAAAGTTAAAGAATGAGATTTGTTGCATATCATAAAAACATTTTTAAAGAAACTTATCTTTCCCTGCAACAAAAGACAGCAAAATCATTGCCAAAATCATTCAGTGTGGACCAGACTTGAGTTACATTACTTTTAACAATAAAACAAATCAATTTACAACCCACGTTATACTAGTACTTTGGGATTCTTAATTAACACAATGTAGGAACCTGTAACATACCTGTGTAATGAGATCAGGTAAATCAAGAGCTAGTTTGGCCATATTTGGGATCAGCAAATGGAGATTACTGTCCTTCGCGTGTAAGTGCTGTAGAGCGATTACACAAATCTGTCATCAATATGTATTTTCACTTTTAACATTTACCTGTCCTCCGATATGAACTAGAGAATGATTCACTAACCCGACCATATAAAAAAAGTGCATCGAAAGTCCATCTGTCTTTGTTGTTGGAATTGTAAGACATTATTGCGGTCTACAAAAGACAGAAAACTGGTCACATTATGATAAACAAGCCTGAGCTCGCATAAAATTAATTGTCATCGTTACAGTACCTGAACATCCCCAATAGAGTTATTTCCTTTGGTGAGATTGTGCAATGCACGACAGGTGACGTCCCAGTGAGAGGGTGGTGAATGGGACTTGTTGGGGGATTCAGGCGGTGGCTATGGGGAATAATCATTACTGAATATGAATGAATAATGAATACCCTCTCTATTTTCATGAGTTACTTGTTCAGAAAAGCTCTTTATATAGAAATGATGATGATCTTTAGAGAGAGAGATTTGTTATAAAGCACTCTGGATGCACTTACATACAGATGTGGTAACTTCACATGGTGGGAATCCCAAACATGAGTCCCTTGATGAGAGACAATTACACCACTTTGGAAACATGGAATCTGCTCAGACAAGCCAGTAACATGAATTATGACTGAATCAGTATTCACAGCACACTTTATAAAGTAATTAGAATACAAAAAATAAGGATGAAATTGCATGGTTCTTACATCTATCAGTATTGTATGTCCTTTCTTGAGAAGTGGCTGGTTAAGCTCCGTGGCGAAGTCTTGCATTGTCTTGAGGTTCTTGATGGGATATGTGGATCCCGGCTTTGGTTTTGTTCCTAAGCTGGAAGCGGCTGAAGTGTTCATAGTGCACTTTGAGAGGGCTGGTTTGAGAACCATAGACAAATATTATTTAAAAAAAATAAATAAAAATAATTATGAAAAAGCATCATTACACTGCTTGGAACAGAAAATAATAATAATAATAATAATAATATTTATGATATGCCCTAGAGGACACCAGGACTCAGTTAATAAGAAAATGAAAACAATATTGCCAAAACATTTTTTAATTTACATTTTATATTCGATAAAGCAATTAATATTTAGGTTCCAGGCTACTTTCTTTTCTGTAACTTGTCCAAACTTTGTACAAATATTCTCAACTATGAAAGATATTAGAGAATGGTTTGATACACTATTTTACTTTACTTTTTAGCTACAAAATATTATCATATTCCCATAAGAGTGTTGAATTTAGTCATTCAGTCAGTGTCAGTCATATTTAAAGACCAAGGACAGAGGGAATTGTCGCGGTTAAACCTCCAAACATTTGGTATCTCTGAAAAGACCTGAATGTGCTCTTTATAGTAATAAAACTGTGACTTATATGGTCTCAAAGAAATTTATTATAATATAATTTCAGGACATTACCTCTTATGGCTAGGTCTCAGGAGGATAAAGAACACAAATCATATTCGAGTATAGAACAAAAGACTAAGGGGTTCGTTTTTTTATTCGTGAAAGTTTATTAACGGGGTTCGAACGTTGCAATAAAGAAAAAAATCGAAAGTTCGATTCGAAGTTAGAACGCGAATATTCTGCGAACAGCTCGAGCGCGTGACTTTGCAGCTGGTTATATGGCGATACATTGATCAAATATGAGATTGCGTTTCAAGAACGAACTTTGAACAGCGCTAAATTACCTTTGCGTTAAATAATTTAGAAGACATAAATAAAATAATTCGCTTATTGGCTAAAATTATACTGAAAGCGATTTATATTTTGTCAAAAACTATGATTACCATGGTCAAATTTTAGGGTAATTAAACAAAATTCAATTGGAGTAGGAGAAAGAAAGGAAACATGTAGTAAAAAAAAGTATGTATATAAATCAAACTCATATAGCCTAATTAAAAGATGCTGAAATAGTCTTTGCATCTAGTCTATTTCCTTTAAAATTACTTATATACACTATGTAGTGCTTTAATTTAAACTGTATGGAGCTCTTTCACTTTTGATTTTCTGAATTGTGTGTACAGTCTTTAAAAACATGTCTTTAAGAGTACCGTAACTGAAGTGAAACTGAAGGGGGGGGGGGGAGATAAATAATATCTACTCACTTGTTCGTCCCAGATGTTGACGTTCAGTGTCTGTGAATGCTTGTGATGAGAGTGATGACTACATTTATTTGTCACACCTCCTAATGGTCGGTCACTTGTTCGGTTGCCATTCGTCACGTCAACCACAAGATGGCACCACACTCCAATTATTATAACCATTCATTACTTTCTTAAAACTTCTTTCAAAAAGGCGGGGCATAGAGGAGAAACAATAATGTACAGTATGTGGAAAATAATGAGTTTTTTTTACTTTAAACCGCATAAACACTTCATTACACCAAATACACAAAATAATGTTCTTTTTAGCAGCATCATATGACCCCTTTAAGCGTTAAAACCGTGCTACTTCTAGCTACACTTTCAGAAAAAAAGGTACAAAACCTGTCTCTGGGACGGTACCGTTTGAAAAGGTACACGTTTGTACCTTATTAACTCCTAAAGGATGCATATTAGATCCTTAAAGGTACATATTAGTACCTCAAGTATACATATTAGTTCCTAAATGGGTACATATAAATATCTTTTGAAAGGGTACTGCCCAGTGACAACTTTTGTACCTTTTTTTCTGAAACTGTACTGCTTCTGTTGTTCTTAAAATTAGGCATTTTCACAAAACTGCAGCTACTAACCACTGGCCATTGTGTCTCAGGTCTGCATAATGTCTGTTGGACAAACCTGTGCTCACTGGTGCCTGAAGCCCTCAGCGGGACGCCATGGACAGAGATTCACCTCAGGTAAGAGGAACAACAGCTCTCTTTAAATGTGAAAAGCTCTCCATGTTTGAGTCAGACGGTTGGTCCTTTCCTGAGGGTTTTTTTTTTGTCTGTCTGACCCATCACGATTGGCCTGCTGTCCTGAGCTGCAATCTCATTATCCCTGCTACTTCCACCATCACTGGCCCTACAACCTCAAACTCAACAGCAAATACTGAATATTGACTCAATGTGGAATCAGTTTTATAATATTACAGTGATTATATCCTTAACATTGACAAACCAAAAAAATAGTCAATATGCAAGCATAAATCATAGATATCTATTTTTGAGAGCTCATATATCTTGGATGACACACTTTCTTCCAGCTTTCTGTTTTCATCCTAATTTGGAGGGCTGTGGCATGATTGAGACAGACAGAATGTCCTCTTCAATCGCTGCCTCTGCCTCTGATGTGGCTGTTAATGTCTGTCTGAGTTATGGAACTGCATATGATCCAGCAGCTTTACACAACACACGGCGCCTTAGGTGACTCTACATTTCTAATATGACAACTGTAGTTTGATGACTGGCCTCGTAAGAACAAACAGTGTGTGAGGAGGTTCGACAACAGGTGTAGTCTTTCAAAGAATGTCCATTTTCTTGTTTTATTTTGTTTTGTTTTTTTAATTATAAAAGAAAAATTCTTTTAAAAACTATATAAAAATGTTTCTCTCTCTCTGTGTACAAGTACATCTCAGAAAATTAGAATATCATGAAAAAGGTCAATATTTTTGGACCATTTAAAGGCTCAGGAAACCTTTGCAGGTGTTTTGAGGTATATATATATATATATATATATATATAAATCCTACTGAGGGGATCTTTTTTTAATTAAAATAAAACAGTTTTATTCGGCAAGGACAAATACAATTTATCAAAAATTATGGTAAAGTTACCATCGATTTCTATTTCAAATAAATTCTATCTTATGTACTTTCTATTCATCAAAGAATATAAATACAATTTTAATTAAATAAATATTTTTCTTTATTAGAATTCTCAAAAAATTCTCAAAATTAACATGACAGACTGAGTAGGAAAATGGATTGCAAACAACAGCAGAAATGGGATTTACCATCACAGCACATGGAACAAACGTAGGGTCAAATGTTATTTTACTATTAGCCATATTTCCTAATGGTACAATTAATGCTAAAACACATTTATATTGATATTTATGCATTTGGCATATGCTTTTATCCAAATAAAAGTTACATTGCATTCAATGTAGACATTTGATCAGTTCTTGCTTTCTCCTCCTTTTTAAAAGTTGATAAGCCTGTTTGTTTTAATTGTGCCCGATTATACGTTTAGTTGCTGTTGATTATTTGCATTTCGCATTGTTGCCACCTGAACAGTCTTGGTGAGCAACTAAGCAGCGCTGTTCCAGATGATGCAAATGCAGCAGATGAGGTAAAGCTTCTTGTTGCTGGTGTTTCAGAGAACAAGGCTGGAAAGAACAGCTCTTTCAATCCGCTCCTGCCCCCTTTTTGCTGCCGACTGTTATTGTTGGTCAGCCACTTCCCAGGAATGTTCCTCTTCAGGCCAGGCAGAAGTCACTGCAATGGAATGCGGCGCGCAACAACAATGTTGACTTAAAAAGGCCAGAAAACGGAATGGAACTGGATATGGATGCGCGCGCGTCACATGAGACGTGCTTAATTTAAATGCTTTCTTTAGAGCGCAAATAGAACCTAGACAAGTCAGTGTTTCATTATCTCGCTTTAAACACAGCTGCATCCCAAACGCTCGTTTGAACGTTGAGTTATGATCAGGTTATGGATTTGTCAACCGCGCTGCGTCTGAGTGCGCGGGAGGGGGACGTCTTTCTCAGCAGTCAGATTACTCTTTGTCTGTCCTTTTTGCTCATCCAATGGGAGCACAAAGACGGACAGAGTTGACCGAGCGAGTGGCATTCTAGCTCGCAATCTGCCGCGCAGTGAGATTAGCCGCGGTCAGATTGACGCGGCGCGCCGAAACGCGCGGTTTGACAGCGCTCATAATAGCCGAGTGCTGTTTGACCCTCATACAGTGGGCGATGTGGTTCGCGAGCGCGCGATGATCGAGGGGGGTTGGTTGGTTGATCTAGCCTGTGACATTGTTAAATGACTGCAGTAGATGGGGAGAGGGAGGGGGGATGCAGCAGGTCGTGGGGGAGGGGAGCCTGTGGGAGGTGGCATTGACATCTATAGCGAGGAGAAAGATGAAAAAAGGCAAAAGAATCTCAGCACCCCCCCCCAACTGGCCGCATGCAGTGATGCAGGCACTTCAAACTGAGGCGCACACACAAACTAATAAAGACTCGGATTTTTTCACGAGGTTTCTGAGCTTTGTGCATCGAAAATGGTACGGATACTTGGATAATCAAAGGCTAAAGATTAATATTCGGCTATTATTTACACTGCCCAGTGTCATTCCAAACCCTAGCATTTTTTCATGGAACATTAAGCAGACTTTTTGAAGAACATTTACGCAACTTCCTTCCATACAGCAACAGTTCACAATAACCAAGTCAGTCAGTGTCCAACATTCCAAAAATGAAGTCTTATGAAGTAATTTGATTGGTTTGTGTGATAAACAAATGGAAATTTAAATCGTAAAATCGTGTGCTTCATCAAAATTCTCAAATTTAATTTGCCAAGATGTTCAGATTCGAAAAAGATTCTGATTTCACTGTTGAAAATAAAGGTTCTTGATTGGTTCTTGTTTTTACACCCTTTAAAATAAAGCTCCCAAAAGGGGGTTTTCACAGCGATGCAATTGAAGAACCATTTTAGGTTCAGTGAAAAGTTCCTAAAATAATCATTTTTTCCCTTCATGTAAAGAACATTTTAAGTGACAAGTGACGTGACATGTGGCCAAGTATGGTGACCCATACTCGGAATTAGTGCTCTGCATTTATCCCATCCAAAGTGCACACACACAGCAGTGAACACACACACACACACACCGTGAACACACACCCGGAGCAGTGGGCAGCCATTTTTTGCTGTGGCGCCCGGGGAGCAGTTGGGGGTTCGGTGCCTTGCTCAAGTTTTAATAAACTAAAGAACATTTTTCCACTATAAAGAACCTTTTGTGCAATGGAAAGGTTCTACGGATGTTAAAGTTTCTTCATGGAACCATACAAATACCAATAAATAACTTTTTTAAGAGTGGAAAGATTATTAAAATGTTTTTCACACTATAAATTTTGCAGGTAAAAAAGGCCCATTGTATATTGACAATATAGTAGCATTTTATAAAGCAGAACCAAGCTGCTTTCTGCATGACCATCTGAACCATTATGAAACCTGCATGGGGAAATCATTTGTCGTCACGTGAAATTCCAGGTTGTGGAATTTCCTATTAAAATGACTGGATTTTGCAAGCAAAAATTTGCAAAACAACAGTAAATGTGGTGCATTTTTGGAAAAAAAATGTTCTTTTAAGAATTGTTCACTGAAAGGGTCTTTTGGAAACCCAAAATGATTCTTACCTTTTTGCAGCCTTTATTTTTAAGAGTGTTGACTATTGGTTCTTTTGTGTCAGGAGATGAAAAATTAGATATGAGTCTGTTTGTCATACAAATTATATAGTGTGCAAGTTGTATGGACTATTTCTTCAGTGCTTCTTGAGCATAATCACAAAGAACAATTGAAAAAGAGTTGCTTGAACAGGCTAAATAATGACAGAATTGTCGTATACGGATGAAATAAATTCTTTATGGGCATGAAGAATCTTTAACATCCATGGAACCTTTCCACTGAACAAAAGGTTCTTTATAGTGGAAAAAGATTATTTAGATTATATAAAATGCTCTTCACACTAATGGTTCTTTTAAGAGCTGTTAATTGAAAGTTTTTTTGAGGAACCAAAGGTTATTTTATGGCATCGCTGAAAAAAAACTTATTTTAAGCATACTAACACAGGGGTTGCGCATCAGGATGATTAGAAGTAATGTATTTTTCACAGTATTGGTGTCCGTCTCTTTGTTACCTGCTCAGCTGACTGTCTCAGTCGTTTCTACCTCTGACAAAGAATATTCTGTACTGTTTCCCTACAGCTCTTCGTTTGGCCCCAAACCTCCAGACTAAAGTTCAGTCATGCTCATCAAGACTGCAGATCCATTGTTCTTTCCTCAGCAGCTCCAGTCTAGTCGCGGCGCTGTCGCTTTCCCCCTCCCTCCCTCCATTCTCTCTGCAGGATAATTCCCATGATATGTTCTTGCCATTGGCGTGGGGCGTACCATTCTCAACGAGGGGTGAGCAGAAACAAACAGTATCTCTTTACGCCTCCACACGGATTTCTCTACCAACCTTTGCATTTTAAAATCATGCAGAGCTTTTATTCACAGAGATGTTGGTGAGGCATGGTGATAATATTAAGAGATTTTGATATCTGTAGACATAACATGCAACTCCCACCCCTCTGTTGCACAAACATTGCACGAACCGATCCCCTTACGGCGTAGTAAAGTGCCTGTTTTATTGACTCAATGTCTTAAGGGCAGTTTTCTTGCCGTTTTTAACAGGGCAGTAATGAGAGAGGAATAACAATTATGTCACTGCATGAAAGCGAGCGCTTGATAAACTAACAAAATGGGTGACGTGATCGCTGCCTCTTTCCGTGATAACATCCCAGAGGATAAAGAGCATCAGAACAAATCACAAACGTACAAATGCAGGCGCGAGAGAAAGCCAGGAAAGCAGATGAAAGATCGGGCTGATGAACACCGTCTGTCTCTGTCACCTCATGCCCAGAAGCTGAATTCAAACCCTAACATGACACCGTCTCTGCCAGATTGACTGCTGCCAGATTGCAATACATCCGTTTCACAGCTAAACTACTGCTGTTCCTTTTTGCTGGATCTGAGGCAGCACTCAGTCACCAAATTTACTTTTTAATTCACATTCCTGGTCTTATTGTGAACGATTCATCGTGCATGTTATTCCAGAGAAAATGAGATCAAAAATGAAATAAATTGAGAGTGCACTTGATATTTAAGCATATGAGG